TATTATCGCTTATAAAGGAGTATAACTCGTTTTAAAAGCTAGTTCAAAGGAGGAGGGAACAAAATCACATATATACACCATAACAGTCACCAACTTGACGATGTGGAACAAATACATTTCTATACACTCTTCCTCACACTCGACGTGCAGAACCAAGATCCAAACTCATTATCATCAAAAACAATACTATAATAAACGGGTTTAGGTAAAACTCACTCTCAAAAGTTGGGTTTAAAAGAGGAGTAAAAATTTAATGATTATTTTTCGATGATCGTCTAATGTTGTCAAACACAAATGAACGATTTGTAGATTATCATTTTTACAAATACTTTTACCATCATCTCATATTATCGCTTATAAAGGAGTATAACTCGTTTCAAAAACTAGTTCAAAAGAGGAGGGAACACAGTACATATATACACCATAACAGTTCACCAATTTGACGATGCGAGACAAATACAATTTCTATCACTCTTCTCACGCTCGGCGTGCAGAACCAAGATTCAAACTCATTATCATAAAACTTGGCTCTGATACTATGATAAAGGTGTTTAGGTAAAACACTCTCAAAAGTTGGTTTAAAAGAGGAGTGAGCATTTATGATTATTTTTAATATGGCTAATTTTGTCAAACAACAAATGAACGATATGTAGATATCATTTTTTACAAATATTTTACTATCATCTCATGTTATGCTTATAAAGAGGTATAACTCGTTTCAAAAAGCTAGCTAAGGGAGAAGGAATCACAATCACATATATACACTATAACAGTCACCAATTTGATGATGCGAGACAAATACAATTTCTATCACTCTTCCTCACGCTCAGCTGTGCAGGACCAAGATCCAAAGTCATTATCATCCAAAAACAAACTTGGTTATGATAAATTGGTTTATGTGTCACACTCTATGATGCAATGTCTAATCAAGAATTTCAAATTTACTCCGAAAATATTTGCGAATAACTTCTCCGGCAGCATCCGCAACTTTATTGCCGACTTCAGCGAAGAGATCGAGGTCAGGTTCGCCGACTCCATTAGCAGCGACAGCGTGGTTAGAGAGGTTAGAATTAGAAGCCATAGCGGAGATTTTAGCGGCTCTTGATTGAAGAGAGAGCGAAGGACGCCTAAGCGCGGGAAGCTGATGAATAAACGAGAGAGCGTCGTCGTTTTGACGAAGATTGAGTGTTCGGCCGTTGTGGAGAGAAGTGGAGGGAAACAATGTGAGAGGTCTGAAGGACAGGGAGAGGAAGTGAAGTTGAGAGTGCATTTGAGAAGGAAGGGTTTAAATAGGCGGGAAAAGTGGGAGCGTTGAGAGGAGAAGACTGAACGGAAGTGACCACTGACGACGTGAGAAAGGAACCCGCACGCAGAGACTGTCTCAAAGAGTGAGTGCTTTGGAGTTTGAATTAGTGGAAGTTGACGTGTTTTGCACCGTTGGATTTCCAGATGATGAGGCTCTTTTTTTTTTTTTTTTTTACAATTTTGAATTTTAATAATTGTTTAAACTAATTATTTATACAATTGTTTAATACATGTATAATTTCTTTTCTATTTTTAATCTATAATTTTATTATTTTAAACTATTTTTAATGGAAATATAAATGAAAAAGAGAAATATATATGCATAATAAGTTAGTTAAATAAAATATCTTGTCGATTTTTTTTTCGATAACAGGGATATTGGGTCATTTTACATGTATCTTAACTAATCTCTAAAGTCCATTAAATATCCTATAAACCTGAAAGATCAAGGTGTCGATTTTTCTTCTAATGAATTCGAACCTCATAATTTTAAGTCTTATTAATTTTTTATTTTTTAAATAGTAAAATTATTGACTAATATTAATTTTTTTTAAATAATAATAATAAAGAACTATCATCATTCCTGATAAATATGAGTAAACGTCTTTTTTCCACCCAAATAATAGTTTAATGACACTTTTCCGCCCATATACTTTTAAAAAATATCATTTTGTTATCCAAATTTATATTCCGTTTTCGATTTCGACATCGTTACGACCCTACACCACCACCATTCTCTTCCCCGATTATTATTCATTAAAACTCCTCAAACTCAACTCTCGCCGACCCCGCAAATCACTAGCAATCAAGCAATTAGAGTTTTCGTAGTCGTCCCTTCCAAGTTAAATTTCGATCAATCACAACCACCAAAATTCAACCTTTCACCATCAAAAGATTCATCGGCCTCCCATCTTCAAAAGCCCTAACAATTTGGACCGAGTTTGTTCTTTGTTCGACTCCCATCTTCAAAAGTTAAATGTCATTAACCATTATTTGGGTGGAAAAAAGTCGTTAACTCAATAAACAGCTAGTTAAAACCCACAGCCTCAAAACATTTAACTTTCAAATGAGTTTAGGTAGAACTCAAACCGAAGAACTCGTTCGAGAAGAAAGTCCAACCATATATATACATCATATCACCCTATCAAATTAGACGATGTAAGACAAATACAACTTTGAACACGAAACAAACTTGTAAGTATTATCGCATATTATAATAAATAAATAAAATCAAAATCATTCATTGAATACAACCAAAAGCAACTATCTAAGAAAGGAAGGTGCGTCTCTTCGTCATCCTCCAACAACCACCCACCATGGAAACAAGTAGTCTACGTGAAGGAGAGGGAAACGCCAATGGAGGTGAATGCATTTCGCTGTCACTCCCATGTTTCATGGGAGTGGAGATTCACTTTATATATAAAAGCTTTATGGCCATGCAATCAGAAAGAACGAAATAATGAAATAATAATAATAATGGAAGTCTTATGTAGTCCAATTCACCATTGTGTAGTCATCACAATATATAACATTAATGGGAGATGACAATACATTATGAAGTTGACACATATATGTATATGTTATGCCTGAAAAGGTAGAACTGACGTGGAGCCTCATCAGTAAAGGATGGTCAGAGCTCATAGGGATTCGGTGTTGTCCAGGTGCGGCTACGTCGCATCTAGCGCAAGTGGTATGGTTCCTGTCAGTGCAGCAGGTGAATGTCAGGTCAGCAAACAACTGGAGATCGCCCACATGTTAAAGTCATGCTTTAATCGAGGAAAACCCTCGGGCAAGTGACCAATGGGACACAAAGAAATGATTCGCACGGCACTCACCCACTTGCAGTTTTTTATAATCATTATCTTGAACTCTCCCACTATAAATAGAGGACTTCCCTCTTATTTTCAGGGATTAGTTAATTTTACACTTAAATAGCTCTCTCTCTCTCTCTCTCTATTGTATTCTCTCTCTAAACTGTAACTCAACTCGCTAAACGCGACCTGACCTCTCTTTCTTATTAATACAATAGCAGTGGACGTAGGATTTGCTTTTGAGCATCTGAACCACTTTAAATATTACTCTTCATTTTCTGTTTAATTCAATCCCCTTATATCACGTGTGACTTCTAAGTCTTTTAGCATTTTACACGTGCGAGTAATTGATGTAAAAATCAAGCATCAACAATATGTATATATACTGATTCACTACGTATTATGTCTATAAGCTTTTCAACAAAATTTTGATTATGCAACAGAACGAAGATAGACACTAAATACACTCTAACATAATAGTTCGAATCCACGACAAAATAAGAGATAGACCGATCAATTTTATGGGTTAAAATAAAAAATTTATTTTAAAAACATGTAAAATGGATTTTTACAATGATATAGCTAGTGATGGCAATGGGCTAGGCCGGGATCGGGTACCCCTTGGCCCAAGCTTAAGCCCAACCTCATGACAAAGGCTCAAGCCCAGTCGGGCCCGTCACGGTTATGATAGGTAAAGCCCAAGCCCGGCCTGACGGGCTTTTTGTAACCTTAGGCCCAGCCCAAGCTTGCCCATTTTAATAATGTGAATTTTTAAATATTAATAAATTTTAATTTTTTTTCATATTTTTAATTCTAAAAATAGTTTTTAAATATTAATTTATTTTTGAATACTCATCAAATGGGATGAGATTATAGTTTGGGAAAAATGAGTATATATATGTAGGATAATCTTGTAATTAAATACATAGTATAAAGATAATTTAGTAAAATTAATACTAAAATTGTTAGACCGGGTCAGGCCTAAAGATATACCCAAACCCGGCCCATACTTGAGATCGGACCTTAAAATCAGGCTCAGGCCCAAGCTCAAGCCCGCGAACACCGGATAAAGCCCGACCTTTTCGGGTCGGGTCTCGTACCCTAAAATATCGGGCCCATTGCCATCTCTAGATATAGCATGAGATATTTCAGTACACCTTGAAATAAATATTGACTCTTACTGTCTTACATTACCCCCTGTTTGTTTAACTTTTCCAACCCTATTGTGTTTTACTATTTTATCATAAAAAATGAAAAACGTGTTTGTTTTAATATTATTTAAAATCCGATCATATTCTATTCAACTCAAAACATTTAATAATTACATTTCTCAATAAAAATTTATAAATCAACAAAAACACCTCTACCCACCCAAACAACAATCACTTGCCAAGATATGACGAGCATCAATAGCCAGATCTTTGGCTATAAATCTTGCCATTTCTGGCCAGATCTATGATCCATGGTGGATCTGGCCAAAAACGACCAAATCAGCTCACAACCAGCCAGATCTAACCGATCGTATATCATTCCAACAACTTTTAGCCACCGTCCGACGGTGATGATCGGCTACCGACAATCAATTGAGTGAGTGAAGGTGTTTTTATTAATTTATAAACTTTTATAATTGAGAGTGTTTAACTAAATTAAAAAATGTAAAGGGTTAAAAAATAATCTAAATATTTTTCAAAAATATACCCAATACATTTATCTTAGAATCTTATTCTATTTAATTAAATACTATCCTATCCTATTCAGAAAATATTATTAAAAAAACTATATCAAACGGAGCCTTGAACTTCTAAAAGATGAACCCCACCATGAAATGGTAGGCAAATAATATTACACTAAAAAAAATAACAAGATCTTGAAGCAAAATTTAACAATATAAACATTGTGAATTGCAGTAAACATCCATACAAACTTGATCTAACCTTATTAATTGCTGCAACTTAATTATAAGCTAGCTCAGTCCTGTGCCCTAATGGCACACAGCTAGTTGCAGTTTTAAGTTTCAACCAGAACATAAACAAAACACACATCGATCTTAGCACAAAACAAAGCTTATCATAGACACCACAATCCAATGTACAAGTTGATATATATATATATATATGTTTTACGTAAACGTATTAATGGGAATGATGACCAGGAAGTTTCTCCTTGATCTTCTCCATCATACTTTTCTTCTCATGATGCTGCTCTTGCTGGTGGTGTTGTCCTGGAGCGGTGGTGGTTGTGGTAGTGGAAATGATTGTAGTCTGTGAATGCTCCTCCCTGTTCTTCCCACTTGCCCCAAGTTTCTCTTTTATTTTCTCCTTCAGTCCCTTCTTCCTCCTCCCTCCTTGCCCATCATCCTCAGACTGCGTATGCATGCACCAAGGCAATTAATTTTAGAGTTAAAAAGATTAAAAAATAATGAATCAGAAGGTGCATGGGGAATATATATATATATATGTCTCACCGAGCTAGAGCTTGAACTGCCAGAGCGCTGAATCGTCTCTCCAGCACCCAAATGCTGATCACGCTGGCGCTCATGTTCCAACTCTTGCTTCAAATCTCGACGCTCATGTTGACCTTCCCCACGAAACAGCTGAGCCTGAACTCCTACATCATGAACACCACCAGGCACATGAGCAGCAGCCGGTGGAAAACCAACACCAACGCCGTGGACTTGGCTCGTAGCAGTAGGTTCACCTTTGGTGAGAGCAACACCAGTAAGTTGCATGGGGTTACCGTATTCGTCGGTTAACTGAACTGGGTTCCCGTGTTCATCTGTCAGCTGAATTGGGTTCCCACATTCATCACGTAAATCTGCCATTTTCGATTTGGAGAGAATTTATTTGTTGTATATTTGGATATTGGATGAGCATATTCAGGCTTATTGGGGGACTTTAAAGAGTGAACGTGATCCAGTGACGGTGTAGCAAGAGAGTAATGTTGGTTTTTGCATGTCAATCTGGTGTCTACACGTAATAATCGAGTGAAACACGAAACATTCAGGCTATGTTGCCGCGTAGCAGCAATGAGGCCAGGTGTCGTTTGTTGGATTACTAACGATTTCCATCGTCTGATGATATTATCCTGATTCCTGATCAAACTTGTTGGATCGAAGCATGAAAGGCCAAAAACAACCGCCATGAAATGGATTATTTGAGCACCGCCTCAGTTTTCAGGTTGCATTGCATGACCTTGTTCCTTAAGTGCCCTACAAGAGGTTAATATGAATTAGTGAGGTCAATGAAGATGCACACATTATCTAATAGGTTTAGGTCCTGGCCTGGCCCGATCGGTTGAACCGGGACCTTGAAGCCTTTATCAGGTCGGGTTATACATTTTTCTATTAATTGAAACCTAAACATTAGAACATCAATCCGTAAACAATTAAAAGCTATAATATTAGGGATTTTAAAGATCAATAACCGATGAGTACAATGGTGACAACTTCAGTGAATCCGATGAGTGAATCGATCAGAAATCGCAAAGCTATGTGCTGACGCTAACAGTGGTGTTCGAGGTGTTTTGCAAGATTTTAAACCTATAAGAACTTACATGTAATTTTCAAGAATATTTTTTGTTAAATTTTAAACCTTTAGACATCTGTTTGACCCGTCGATCAAACCGGTTAAACCAGTCAACCGGGGACCTAACCACTCTGCTGGGTTATACCCCGTGTTAGGTTTTAAACACTGCATGAGAATGAATGCTATGAGCTAGTAACATTCATGGCTGCACACAATGGGAAAGCATAAATGGCTAAAACCATTAATCTATCTTAAAATAATATTTGGAAGATAAAAAGACGATCAAATAGAGCATATAACAAACTGAATTTCAATTTATCATACAGAGGGTCCCGTATTTGCTTTAAAGTGACCAATACGTTCTCCATTTACAAAGGAGATCACCCAAGACGTCATCCAACAACAAACCCATCAAGGTAAGGTTACAATCCAGCCAGCCAGCCAGCCATACAGAGGTTTCAAATTCAATAGAATAAAATTCATTTTTGTCCAAGCAAGAAACAAATTTATCTGTACAGTAGAGGACCAATAGTTTCACAATGCATTTTCATTCTACAAACTTCTTTCTTTTGCATAATTACCCCCTTTATCTATTTCTTTTTACTTCTGTACAAAGTAATTCCAGTAACTAATTCTGTTTAAGTTTCCAAGTCTGTATGAAGATTTGTTCTTTAAATATCTGAAAAAGGGCCACCACTCCTCATCTAACTGAGATTCCAGAAAGGATCAAACATTGGCATCTGTAAACATGCATGAAACCTTCTTTAGAAAAGTTGTGAAGAAGAAAAGAGGGATAGATATACTAACTTTTGGTGAGTCCAAAGGTTTCAACATCAATTTGTATGAATGATGTATGTGTGTGCATGTGTCAGTGTGCAGTCCCCAGAATATCTGGTAAGCGCATAATGAGAAAGGTATAAAATTTTAGCAATGATGCCAAAGCAGGGAAATGGCTAATTTTAGTGTACACTGAGAAATGCAACAAGAGAAAAATTATCACCTCTTTACAGGGAGAAGCAGTTCATGTTTTGCTAGATTTGGTCCAGAAAAGCCCCTTCTTCCATGTAGAATGATTTTCTGATGGGGACCTACTCCCTTTTGATCCCAAGGAGAAGTGTCGCATCAAGAAAGGCTTTCCTAAGGAGCTTTTCATGCTGGAAGTGGAAGCAATCTTGGAACTCTTTCCTTCATTTTGACTACTTTTAAGGTGATCCAACATGAAAGAGTTACGATCAAGATTGCTATCCACAATCCGGTTCCTTGATCTCTTGTTACTTCTAGCCTTTGATTCCATCTCCGATTTCAATGCTTTTTCAGACAACTTAAGGGTTTTTTTCTCCCCTAAAATACAAACTGGGCATGCAGGGTCATACTTGTGAATCTCAGCAGTTATATTCTCCAAACATTCAGCATGAAAAACATGCCCGCAGGTTAGAACTGCAACCACAGCAAGCTCTGACAACAGCTTAGAGCAAGCACCGCATGTTTGCTTATCAATAGAAGCAACAGCTGAAATTCGGCTATTGGATCTGGTTATCTTCTCATGACTAAAGCCCAAGGACTCGTTATCAAAAGACCACCTTTCTTTATGAGATGTGGCCATGAGTTCAGAAAAGGCATGCATGGACCAACCATCTGAAGACCCAGCATGGGAGCCCCCAGTTGATTCATTGCTCCATGATGGGATCACTGGCCTTTCTTCACTAACGGAGTATCCATTCAATGACTTCAATCCTGAGATCTGGCTATCAGATACCTGCCTTAGGAGTGGATGGCCAGGAGAATGACGGGGCCACTTTGGTGTGGATGAACTGGTGGGATACAGATGATGTTGGGATGATAAAGGGGATGCCAACAACGAAGAAGTTGATGGCACTGAAAATGATAATTTTGGGGGAGATGGATGTGAAACTGCTGAGGATTCTGAGGACTCCTTAATCTGATACATAATTAAGATTAAAAAAAAAAAATCTCAATGCGGAAACTTAAAGTAAAAGAATCTAAATCATATGAAACTAGCCTTTCACAAAAATCATAAAATAAAATAAATAAAAAAATACCTGTTCCAAGCTCACATCCATAGAGACATTTCTTGAAATAGATTGATCTGTCATATATATGTAAAAAAAAAAAAATATGTAAGATTACCATAGTGAGCTTACTAAAAATGTAAGATCAAACCTAGCAAAAAGAAATTTGACAGGTAACTTATTTTAGTATCCAGATATGACAAACAGAAAAAGGTATTTACTGAGTTCAGGGAGTCCTACAATGGATGATTAATGGCAATCTTAGTCTTTATAAGGAGTATTGTCACTCCACCTAATAAACTAATTGTTGGGGTTGGATACCTAGGCTTATACAAGGTATTGCAGTATCTTATTTCTCTTCTTAATATTTGCACTTAAAAACTTACTACAGTAGACCCAACAGATTATTAATAAAGGACATACTTAGCTCTGGGCCCTACAAAATTTAAAAAATACCGCTCTGTTTCACAATATAATACTAACAAAACAGAGGGTAGGCATCAAAATAATCTTTGATTATACAATGACCAACAACTGAATTATACTAACAAAACAAAGGATGGGCATCAAATGAACTCTCCAATTATACGATGACCAACAAATGGCGCCATAGATAAGGCTCAACCATTTGTAGCTCCTCTATTCATTAAGAGATGCCTCTGACATATTAAAGTTAAGCATAGCACATGGCACCAGATAGAGACAGATTTTCCATGCATGTTAAAAACTATAAATTAAAAGTGTTAACTTTTCTAGAGCAAACTATAAAAAAAAGATAAACCCAAACGTCTCAAAAAACTCCAAGTTGGTGTCATGATTGCATGACTCCAACAAGTCATTTTACTTTAGGCTGCAAAGAAGAAATTGACCAGCTTAATAAGTTTCACTCCTATGAGTAAAGGGTAGGAAGAGGAAAAGAACAGAAAAAAATTCCCAAATTAACTAGAGAAAACTTTTGCCTCATGTTTATGTTCTTTATTTGTCTTTTGCAAGTCAACATCCAGCTAAAGGAATTTCAATTAATAATCAACCTTAAAAATTATTAATTGAGATTCATGTTTTACTCTAATTTATGTTTTAGTCTTGATCACATTTTCCTCCTTTTTCTTTCAACATCTAAGATTATTGTCCCGATACATAGATTTCCTTATCTAGCAAACTTAAAGTTGAACTCCGGTGGAATCTCATGGTCACTCAGACGTGATAGGTATTGGAGCCATTAACAAATATCATGCTGCAAAATCCAATGGAATCCACGGCTCCTCCCAAGCAACTATCTAAACAACAGGTCCTATAACATAGAGGAGTAGAGGTGTACAAAACTAATAAATGGTCCAAAGTGAGCATAACTATGCCAACTCTCAGGCTATCTGTGATTAAAAAAGCCTTTGAGACATTCAAATTTATAAGATACAATAGGCTAGGTGTCTCTCAATGAGTACATATATCAGCGGTTGATAACTGGAAAATTTCCTAGAAAAATTGTCCGTCAAGTCATTTTGGTTTAGCTAGATGTTTGTTGACTCTTGCCTAGTCTACATGAGTTGCACTGATATGCTAATTGCATGTAAGATCACGATTTTGTTACCCTAATATTACATTATATAGCACCATGTAAAAAGACTAACTCAACTGTTAATTTCCATTTAAACACACACGTTAACATTACACCAGAGCAACATCAGGAAAGTGTACCTGAATTTGGAGTCCTCACATTCCCAGCAGTAGTTCCTTCAGAAACTGGGGACTTTTGCCATGTAAGTCTCGGACAACTATCTAATGGACTTCCCTCCTCTGATGCATATGCCGATTCATATTTTATATCTGATCCATCATTCCGACTTATTCCATCTGAAAACCAAGTTACAGAAGTCTCCTCACCAGCTACTCGCCCTCGGTTATCCCATCGAAAGCTCCATGTTGGTGAATGCCGAACATTCCTATGCAAGAGCTCACTACCCACTCCACTTGTTATACGCTTGTCTCTGGCAGCAACACAGCAAGCGGACCCCATCCTCAAACACAACTCAATATAAACTTCGACTGAAAACCTAAAATTCTCACTCACATCCTCCAAAGTTTTAGCTTGAAATGTAATCCACACACCATTCTCAGAAAAAAAACCCAGGTATTCTTTTCTTCTGAAATTAAAATAACATTGAGAATCAATCACTTGATAATTAGATAACCAGAATATACCAAAACAAGCAAGTGAAAAACAGACAAAAAAAATTCCAAACCCTTAAAAGAAGAAAGAACCAAAAGCCCATTCGATTGAAACTTCCATGTCGAAAAACAATACTTACTAAAACCCAAACGATAGATAGTACCCATTTAATAATTATGAAGTGACACTCAAATGAAATGTAAAACACTTCCAACAATATCGTTTTTTCAGTAAAGATGATTAAAAAAGAAAAAAACTTACACTCACTATTCTTCAAACCAGCCATCACCAACAACAAAAAACCGAAATCAAAACACAAAAATAAAAACTGAAAAACACTTGCTCTAAATTAAAATAGTGACCAATCAAGTATCGGTTCAATCTGCTACTCTTAAGGAGACTACAGAGTGAGTCTAATCAAATCTAATAAATAATTTTTTTTTTTTTTTAAATGAAATCTAATTTTAGAAACCATTAAAAAAATTAAAATCCAATTCGGAGGGAGGTCAAACAGATCCGCAATTCACGCCTCAAAAACGGCACTTACAGTCAAAAACACACTATATATTTCCATCAAAACGAATATAAATTAATTTAAAAAAAATCGAACATGATTAAATACATTCAGTCATCAGCTTATCGTCATAACAGAAACAAATCAAAAACCAAAAACCAAAGCTTTCTCCGTATACAGACACGAAATAACCGGACCTGACGAGATTGAAATCGCCGAACCGTATCCCTAAGTGTTAGTCGATCTCGAAACGGCGGCGTTTTGGAGAGAGAACCAGAGCCTTTTTTTCCGAGAGACTGAAACTTGATTCTTTGTTGCAGTGAAGAAGGAGAGGGAAGGAGTGAGGTCGTTTTAGACGGTTTTTGGAACGGCGTTAGAATCTGTTAATGAACACACTTTCCCCCCGGTCTCCTGCCGTCACTCTAAACGGCGCTAAGTGACGTCTTTAGCGGGCTTATGCGCCACGTAATGTGTTCTACCTTTATTCTAAGTAAATGCTAAAATGGGAAAAAAAAACAAAAGAAAGTTAAATTAAATGAAGTGAAAGCGTGATGCTGCTTTATATGGTTGTACTTTTGCAGTCGCATAATAAGGCTGCGTTTGGTAAAGCATTCTCCGAAAACGTTTTCTGATTTTCTTTTTCAAAAATTATGCAATATCAATCTAAACCCAAAAACGATAGTTCCTTTAACCATGAACGTATACTAAATTCTAAAAGGGTTTTAACAAAAATAGAGATACGGAGGCTTAGGAATGACAAAGTAATGGTCTTATTTTGAATAAAAAAGTAATACCGAAGACTATAACTCAATAACGATACATATACCTTTCATATGACATAAATAAAAGAGTGTATATAGTTTAAGAATATTTTTTTTTTTTTTTTTGTGACCAGAGTGTTTAAGTCTGTTTGTGCGTACTTCAACTAATCTCCGAAATCCTAAAGTTAACAATTGAATAAACCTCCAGTTACCACTCCTATTAACAACCGAGATAAATCGAACTCAGAACATCTTAGGTAATACCATAAAAGTCCCTATTCAATTACTCGATCACCCAAGAGTGGTTAAGAATAGTCCTAATCTTATTCGTTTAATAGTTTATTCCTTAAAATTGAAATAATCTCATGAAATACAATACTGACATAAACGACGTTAAAAAATACGTAAATAAACTCTCTTTATTAAACTCTTATTAAAGTATTTTTTGCTCGTCTATGTTTATCTTCTCACTCAACCCAAACCAATAATCAAACCACCCAAAAATATTTCTCTAAATTTTTAATTAAAAAAAATTACTAACTTGACGATAAAAAAAATCCCTAAAAATTATAAGCTGGTGGTGAAAGTGTGCTGTGTGTAATTGTACCTTGTAGTTCAGGCGTGAACAGAATGTGACACGAAAAGAGTTCTAAAAAGGACTAATCACTGCTGCTTTCTTCTATCTTACGCGGAGTGCGTAGTACGCATTCCATGCTTTTCACGCCGCTCGAAAGTTATTTTATTTATTTATTTATTTTCATATTTTATTTTTTCCACAAAAGAGATTCTTTTACAATTAAAGTCAATCGTTCGATGTTTTATTCGTAAGGTTTTGGATTCTCTCCACCATTAGATTCTTTGCTCCAGATAGCGATGGAAATAAAATATTATAATATATATATATATAAGAATAATTATGGGATTCCTTTAACTAATTAAGGGAACTCACTTATAAAAAATTTGTGCTTAAATTGGAAAAATATATTTAATTACAAAAACATTAATATATAAAATAAAATTACAAAAAAAATATTTTTTATATAATGTCATACCCAACATTAACAAGTTACGAATCTCACTTTTGTCATTGTTATAAAGATTATATTATATGATCATTGATGATAAAGCTATCGAATTACAAATTTATTAATTTAATTATATCAAATTTTATTGATATACAATTTTTTTCTTAGAAATAATTTCAAATTTTATGATATAAATCCGAATACAATGTAAAATATATTATTTATGTTTAAATCATAATTAATTAGTCTTCATTCAACAAAAAAAAATTAATAATTTTAACATTCATTATCAAAGTTTTCAAGGGATTTTATGATTATTTTTTTATTATTATCTAATGTTGTCAAACACGTAAATACTTTTACTATCATGTCATGTTATCGATTATAAAGGGGTAGAACTCATTTCAAAAGCTAGTTTAAAGAAGAAGGGAATACAATCACATATATACACCATAATAGTTCACCAACTTGACGATGTGGGACAAATACAATTTCTATCACTCTTCCTCACGCTCGACGTGTAGAACCAAGATCCAAACTCATTATCATCCAAAACAAACTTGGCTCTGATACTATAATAAACGGGTTTAGGTAAAACTCACTCTCAAAAGTTGGTTTGAAAGAGGAGTGAGCATTTTATGATTATTTTTCGATTATCATCTAATGTTGTCAAACACAAATGAACGATTTGTAGATTATCATTTTTTACAAATACTTTTACNATAATATATATAAGAATAATTATGGGATTCCTTTAACTAATTAAGGGAACTCACTTATAAAAAATTTGTGCTTAAATTGGAAAAATATATTTAATTACAAAAACATTAATATATAAAATAAAATTACAAAAAAAAAAATATTTTTTATATAATGTCACACCTAACATTAACAAGTTACGAATCTCACTTTGGTCATTGTTATAAGATTATATTATATGATCATTGATGATAAAGCTATCGAATTACAAATTTATTAATTTAATTATATCAAATTTTATTGATATACAATTTTTTTCTTAGAAATAATTTCAAATTTTATGATATAAATCCGAATACAATGTAAAATATATTATTTATGTTTAAATCATAATTAATTAGTCTTCATTCAACAAAAAAAAAGAAAAAGATTAATAATTTTAATATTCATTATCAAAGTTTTCAAGGGATTTTATGATTATTTTTCGATTATCATCTAATGTTGTCAAACATGTAAATATTTTTACTATCATGTCATGTTATCGCTTATAAATGGGTAGAACTCGTTTCAAAAGTTAGTTCAAGGAGAAGGGAACACAATCACATATATACACCATAACAGTTCATCAACTTGACGATGTGGGACAAATATAATTTTTATCACTCTTCCTCACACTTGGCGTGCAGGACCAAGATCCAAACTCATTATCATCTAAAACAAACTTGGCTCTGATACTATAATAAACGGGTTTAGGTAAAACTCACTCTCAAAAGTTGGTTTAATATAAGAGTGAGCATTTAATGATTATTTTTTGATTATCGTCTAATGTTGTCAAACACAAATGAACGATTTGTAGATTATCATTTTTTTACAAATATTTTTACTATCATCTCATGTTATCGCTTATAAAGGGGTAGAACTTGTTTCAAAAACTAGCTCAAGGGAGAAGGGAACACAATCACATATATACACCATAATAGTTTACTAACTTGACGATGTGAGACAAATACAATTTGTATCACTCTTTCTCACGCTCGGCGTGCACGATCAATATCCAAAGTCATTATCATCCAAAACAAACTTGGCTATGATAAATTGGTTAATACGTCACACTCTATGATGCAATGTCTAATTTTGATTGAATGATTGAGTTGAGGTCAAATAGATATACGTGTCCAATACTTTGAAGTAACAATATCTTTGATGTAATGGTTTTAATGCAACCCAACAAAATTAGACATCGAGTTGTATACGTAAACGCCAAATTTGAACATAATTAAACACTATGTGGTTGGTGTTTTTAGTCAAAGGAAGTTGAGCTTTTATTTTTCCCGATAATGTCGTCAGATTTGTCAAAACTTGATAGGTGGTGTGGGGGGAAAGTGGAGGGTTGAAATGTCATTGCACCGTTGGGGTGGATTACTTAGTCTTAATCAAAGTGTTGGCGTTTGTTGTTTAGAGACGCCTCAAATAATTAAATTGTAATATCATTATCAATTGTGATGAGGTAGATTACCAAGTGTTATGGGCTAGCAGTTTCATACCCAAAAGGCTAATCTATTAGGTGAAGGGACTTCCCTCATTTATAAGTCTAGGACCTCCCCAATATGCTTCCTATGTAGGATTCATTACATTATTCCCCACCCAATACTATGACGCCCTCGTCATAGGTAGAACCCCATGCCTAACATTGAAAGACAGATCGAGTCTGCTCTGATACCACTTGTCACGGGTTAGGAGTTTCACACCCAAAAGGTCAACCTATTAGGTGGAGAAACTCCTCCAATTTATAAGTCCAAGATCTTCACATTACGCTTTCGATGTGGGATTCGTTACACAAGGCATAAAAGGAAACCATTTTCAAACCATATTTGATAGAATTTGAAGTCGCCTGACTTCTCACCAAGTACGACATTGTTGAATAAGAGAATTATTATCCTTTCTTATAAACTAGTAAGCTTAAACATGAATAGTCGGTGTGAAACTCCAACATTTCTCTTCGCGATCAAGCTCATATGTTGGGTCAGTCTTGTTAATGGAGATAGTTTGTAGCTCTAATTCCTTACCCACTAGTTAAGTACTCAGTTCAATTGGGTCTAACTCTGATACCATAATATAATTTAAAGTGTGTCTAACTCCTCAACCAATAAGACCTTATTGGGTGAAAAGTCAAGTTCACCTCAAATTCTATCAATATTCTCTAAAAAGAAAAATACTTATGTGCATCTGGTTGTAATACAATTTACCTGATGAATATAATTATACTAATGTAACATATTCTCGTTCGAAGATTGCAACGTAATAGAATACATAAAAAACTTTCTCGTCCAAAAGAAATCACCTCTTTAGAAAAAAAAAATACCCTCATTGATTTATTATTATTATTTTTTAAAAAGCTTTTATATATTTTAAATAAATACTATACATTAAATAAAAAATAATTTGATTTATGCTAAAAAAATACTTTAAATTTTAACAAACTTCTTATACAAAATTAATGATTGAAATGGAGATGGGTTTGGGCAATTAGGCCCACAAGTAGAGCTATGCTTTAACATTATACCCAAAATCAATTTGTAAGGCCCCGTTTGGGGTCCAATTAATGGTTGAAAGTGCTTTAATAATATTTATGTTATCCTATCAAACAAAGTGTCGGAAATCAATATATAATATAAATAATGTTGTTATTCAATTGTTCATCATATCCCAATTTAGTTATTTAGTTGCCATCATCTAATCCTTGGAGAAAGATTATCAATAAAATATAGAGTTGACGACATGTTCCCACTCAAAAAATGGCTCAGTGACAAATTCATACCCACCCACTTTTTAAATAACTTTTTAGTACCCAAAACACAATTTTGCTAGTAATTTTCGTTGCGGTGAAGAGCAAAATGGTTAAAAGTTTGTTATTAGTGAGGGCAGAATGGTCGTCGGAGAGGAGAAAAGAAAAAGGGACGGCACACGTTAGCAGGTCGCAGTCAACGATTTTTTTCCATTTTTCGGCAGATCCCAACGTCCAAAATCACTTCCGAGACAACCCACAGAATCCTCATCACCTCCTCTACAAAGCCCAAGCCTCATTTGCCGTCATCATTCACTATTTCCCACCAACACCTCCATTCACATGGCCTACTCTTCAAGCTGGATTTTCGGTCATTTCTGGTGTCGAAAATCCACCCTGAAACTCATTGCCTCCTCCATCCTCTTCCCTGAGCCTCTCTCACCCTTAATTTGTTTACCTTCAGCCCAATGCACCTGCGAATCGCTGCCTGATTTTTTGCGTGATTTCCCATCTTTTCGGCCTTTTTCTGAACGATCCAGTCACCCAAAACGCCCCTTACAACCACCGTTCGATTGCCCACCCTCTACTCTTCAAAACCCACCCCTCTCCTAACCCTCTGTGCTTGCCATTTGTCGCCTGTGTCCAACTCTTTCCGCTGTGGGACAGTCACGATTTGTGGCTGTTTCCTCCGCAAATTATTGGGTTTTTGGTGCTCGATTAGTGGGTTTGATTGGTTGCATTGGTGTTGTGTTTTTTCCGACCACCATTCTCTCCTAGATCACTCCAACCTCGCTGCCCCCAAGTCGCTCACCACCTGTTCAATTTACTACCACACTCCAGCTCCCAACATCCAACTGTGACAATTGCTGACGATGGAAGAGGCTAAGAAGAGAAGAAAAAAAAAGGGTTTTTTTCGTAAATCATTTTATTTTCCAAGTACTAAAAGGGTATTCAAAAAGTGGGCGAACATGAATTTGTCAATAGGCCATTTTTTGGGTGGGAACTTGTCGTTAACTCTAAAATAAATAATAGAAATTATAAATCATTCAAAAACTAGTGATGATAATTAACTAATTAAAGAGCTATAATTCAATTTAATTCTCTAATAATTAATTTATTTAATTAACTTTAATTATATGGCCTCCCCTTGAACAGGGAAATTAAAGTTATGGCACAAAAATGATTTTGTTTCTAAGTATACAATCAAGTTGAAGCTTTTAAAAGTCAAAAGGAAATAAAGCTAAATAATATTTTGTAAATTAAAAGTTGAAAGAACTAATTAATTAAATGCATGTGGGGTGTAATTAAGGTTAAGTAGATCTCATATTATTTCTTTTTCATAACTTATTCAATTCGAGTACCTTTTTCTTAAATTTTATGCTAATTTTCTAATTATTTTAAATTTACTTTCAATGAACACTTTTATTATTGGTCTTTCAATTTAAATTAAATGGCCAATAATTTATATACTAATCAGCTTGAATTATTATATAATATGATATCAAACCCCAAAACTTAGATAAATAAATATTACCATCAAATAAATACTAGGGTTAATAACAATAATCCTTATTAGGTATAATTTAATAACAAAAATCTTCCCATGGTTATAGTAATAAGAAAAAACCCCTTACCGTTAAGTTTTTGGTGTTAAAGTAAACGATAAAAGGATAATAAGGTAAATTTCTATTAATCTATCCTATCATAAATTCTAACGATTTACTAAAGGGCTATTAATAATAGATGAATTTATATCATTTCTGAAATTTCGAGAAAAAATTTGTTATTTGATTAAACGTCAAGGAGTCGAGAAAAAACCTATAGTAATAAGAAAAAACCTTTTACCGTTAAGTTTTTGATGTTAAAGTAAACGATAAAAGGATAATAAGGTAAATTTCTATTAATCTATCCTATCATAAATTCTAACGATTTACTAAAGGGTTATTAATAATAGATGAATTTATATCATTTCTGAAATTTCGAGAAAAAATTTGTTATTTGATTAAATGTCAAGGGGTCGAGAAAAAACCTATAGTAATAAGAAAAAACCTTTTACCGTTAGTTTTTTGGTTAAAGTAAACAATAAAAGGTAATAAGATAAATTTCTATTAATATATCCATCATAAATCTAACTATTTACTAAAGGGTATTTAATAATGAATTTATATCATTTCTGAAATTTTCGAGAAAAATTTTTTTATCGATTAAACGTCAAGGTCAGCCTGAATTATATACTATCACACTGCATTTAACTCCTCTTTTTGTGAAAACACAAACAATATGAATAGCTATGTTGAATCTGGAGATATTATTCAGCAGTCTCTGGTTTTTCCGTCATTTAGGCAAAAAATCAGAAGCGGCGGCGTCAGCAGCCGGAGATGAAAATTATCACCTGATGAAAGAACATATATATAGAAGTACTGTAGCAATTTGCCTACCAACATATGCATGCAATCTGCAGAAACTGCAACATATATATATATATATACCTGATAAAAACAACGATTAAACTATATAACATATCGATTACTGGGATTCAAAACTTAGTTTCTGCATCTTAATATACAAACGATCAGAGACATACACATATTTATATATGCGCTATTTGTAATATATATATATATATATTATATAGAAGCTAATTATAGTAGTAGTAGTGGCTGCTGCATACATGCAGCTCCTTATTTACTTAATTACTACTTGGCGATCGATCAGGCTGTAGTGTAGCATGCCATTAATTGACCAAGCTTGATGATGGATTTTGAGATGATGATGATGTTTGGATGAGCTTGAAAGGAGGCTTAACAAAGTTGGTGCTGGATCGTATCTGCCATAGTCTTTTGTGTTTACCTTCAGCAGCCTTTCATGTATTACACTGATCACTTCCTCATTTTGTGATGGATTCTCCTATCAAAGTCAATAAATTACCATTAAAATTATTAAATTTTACTGTATGAGCATTTGAACTGAATTGGTTGAGTTAGGTTTATGTTAATTTGTCTGCCTGACTAATTAAAGATCTCTTGTATATTACACTTCACTATCACACACAGGAGATCTTCAAGCTCTTTCACTGAAATAGAGAGAGAGAAGACAAAGAGAACTTAACGTACACAGAAACACACCAACACAAGATGACAAAAACAGGGCAGGAATGATGAAAACTGGGAATACTTCTTTCAAGATCTCAAATTTTTTATTGATTTACTTCATCAATTTCTTGAAGTTTTATTTCTTTTGTTCCCCTTTCATTTTTCAGTTGTAAGATGTAAGCTGTAAGCTGTAAGTCATAGATGTGATGCATCAAAGACTATATATATATACATACACACAGTACCAGAGATACAAACCTCATGAGTTGCCTCCACTGCCACGCCCAACTTATTCACAGAAGTTGATATTCGTCGGCCTGCAAAATTCAATTTATTTAACCATATAAATGGCCACCATCTTCTCTTGTCTAACCAACTTTTAAACACACATGGTAAGATATATATATATATATATATACATTCATTGGCTTTGAAAACCCTAAGAAAGTAACAAGGTATCAGCATGTAACATAGAAACTTGGGTTATTAATATAATTTATAGGTTGAAGCCAATCTTTTGAGATCATGTTGATGAGCTTCAACTTCGACTTTAGCAAAAAGCTGACAATGCGTGCATGAGTTTGTAGCTACCAAAGGCTGCAGCAAAGACACAGAAAAAAAAAAAAAGAACTACGACTGAACCCACCTGCCAAACAAGTTGATAAAAGTGAAGCTGAAACCAGAAGGAACAGAAGACTAATCTTCTTGATCAGAAGCATGGAACCCATTATTTTGTGTTAAGCAAACTTCTTCAACTTTTTCTTTTCTTCTTGCTAGCAGCTGATATTTTTTCTGATTCAAGAGAGATCAGAAATATGCAAAAAAAAAATGATATATGCTTGATGTTTCTTATCTATATTGCAAACAGCATTATTAGGGTTTAAAATAAGCTACACTCTAATTGGTAATCTTAGTGATAAACTGAAATTGATTGTTTAATATTCTATATATATAAAGAATTTGATCTACCTGCTTTTGTGTTTTATATTCAAAATAGCTAGGAAAGGTGAAAGCACATCGCTTTTCTGTTGTTGGGGCATGCACTAAGTCTTAGAAATTAGTGGATTATTTTACTTCATTTAGATAACAGTATGAAGATTACCCTCTTTGAAATCTTCAAAATACCCCTTCAATTCTATATTTCATAATCCAAATATCATTCCTAGTAACAAGTATCATTCAAATATAATGAATCATGTTCAAATAAGTTTGAATTGTTTTTCGCATAACGAATAATCCTCAAGGGAGACTAGCGCAATAACCCACCGCCACAGTCTCCCAATTAAATCTGGGATGCTCAGATGGAGAATCGAACATGAGACTATGTGTATATCCACACTATCCTTAATTCGTCCTAATCATCTAGGTTATCCATGGATGAGTTTTCAATATATGTTGATATAAGTAAACACTCCAAACCACCATTGGGTGGCCTTCATGAGCTTCCGAGTTCAAATCTTCAAAGGCTCTAATAGGGGTGACCACTGAGAGACTTACATGACCGTCAACTTCAAGATCTCTGAAGATTAGTTAAAGTGTGCGTAAGTTAGCCCAGACACCAAAAAGAAAAAAGAGTAAACACTCGATCAATTGTTGGAGCCCTGTTTAGGAATTTAACAAAGTCAAAAAGAGAGATTAGTTAAAAAAAAAAAATCCTTTATGGATTAAGCTGAAAAGGGGGGGTTGAAGAAGTAGAACCAAGTTGGAAAATGAATGGTGAAATGGGGTCATGTTTGTCCTTGTATATGTTTATGAGGGAATTAAAAAGAAGAATTAGGTGGGATAAAATAGCTTTAATGGATGAGTAGTGCTTCCAGTTATCCTTAAAGACAAAGACAACGCACCAAATACACGAAGTGAAAGGACAATGGTGGAGAATAAAGAGAAGGGCACTGTGACTTTTGAGAGGTTTTAAAATATCCATTTCTGTCTTCTCTTTTCTCATTTAAAGTGGTGTTAGGAAAAGCATGCTCGATCGGCTTCCCCTAATTTATGTTAACCTGCCTTTGCTTTTTCCCCTCTTTAACATTCAATAATTGGTCTCTCTATCTATTCTCTTCTCTTCCATCAGTCATCTCATTATAATCTGAATATATATATATATATATATATCCACAATGAATAAAATATGCTCTTTGCATATCTCAAGATTGAATTTGTTAGGTTTGTCATCCCGCATTACTTTTTAAGACGAATTTTTTACTTTGTATGACGAAAATTTCCCTCACCCTTTTTTAAATTTCTTGTAGTGGTTCATCACTTAGTAATTTTAGCACTATCTAACCGATCTAGGTTGAGGTTTATATGCATTATTTGTCAGCAAGCATGCCATTCATATTTGTGGTGTCTTTTCGTCACTAAGCTCTCCAAGCAGAAAATTTTTAGCTGTGCTCATAATTTTCTTTTATTAGATGGCGTTAATAAATCTACTAACCATTTCCAGCTGTTGTTCCCCTCCTAAGGGCAAATTCTTATGCGTTACTCACTCATCCATCACTAGAAACATCACTTCATCAACACAACGTCAAGTGGTCGAGAAAAAACCTATAGTAATAAGAAAAAACCCTTTACCGTTAAGTTTTTTGTGTTAAAGTAAACAATAAAAGGATAATAAGATAAATTTCTATTAATATATCCTATCATAAATTCTAACTATTTACTAAAGGGTTATTAATAATAGATGAATTTATATCATTTCTGAAATTTTCGAGAAAAAATTTGTTATCTGATTAAACGTCAAGGTCAGCCTGAATTATATACTATCACACTGCATTTAACTCCTCTTTTTGTGTAAACACAAACAATATGAATAGCTATGGTTGAATCTGAGAGATATGTATTCAGCAGTCTCTGGTTTTTCCGGTCATTTAGGCAGAAAAATCAGAAGCGGCGGCGTCAGCAGCCGGAGATGAAAATTATCACCTGATGATAAGAACATATATATAGAGTACTGTAGCAATTTGCCTACCAACATATGCATGTAATATCTGCAGAAACTGCAACACATATATATATATGTATAATATGATATACCTGATAAAAAACAACGATTAAACTATATAACATATCGATTACTGGGATTCAAAACTTAGTTTCTGCATCTTAATATACAAACGATCAGAGACATTACACAATATTTATATATGCGCTATTTGTAATATATATATATATATTTATATATATAGAAGCTAATTATAGTAGTAGTAGTAGTAGTGGCTGCTGCATCTACATGCAGCTTCCTTTATTTACTTAATTACTACTTGGCGATCGATCAGGCTGTAGTGTAGCATGCCAATTAATTGACCAAGCTTGATGATGGATTTTGAGATGATGATGATCAGTTTGGGATGAGCTTGAAAGGAGGCTTGACAAAAGTTGGTGCTGGATCGTATCTGCCATAGTCTTTTGTGTTTACCTTCAGCAGCCTTTCATGTATTACACTGATCACTTCCTCATTTTGTGATGGATTCTCCTATCAAAAGTCAATAAATATAACCATTAAAATTAATTAAATTTTTACTGTATGAGCATGTGAACTGAATTTGGTTGAGTTAGGTTTATGTTAATTTGTCTGCCATGACTAATTAAAGATCTCTTGTATATTACACTATCACTATCACACACAGGAGCATCTTCAAGCTCTTTACATGAAATAGAGAGAGAGAAAGACAAAGAGAACTTAACGTACAACAGAAACAGCACCAACAAAGATGACAAAAACGAGGGCAGGAATGATGAAAACTGAGGAATACTTCTTTCAAGATCTCAAATTTTTTTATGATTTTAATTAATCAAGTTCTTGAAGTTTTATTTCTTTTGTTCCCCTTTCATTTTTCAGTTGTAAGATGTAAGCTGTAAGCTGTAAGTCATAGATGTGATGCATCAAAGACTATATATATATACATACACACAGTACCAGAGATACAAACCTCATGAGTTGCCTCCACTGCCACGCCCAACTTATTCACAGAAGTTGATATTCGTCGGCCTGCAAAATTCAATTTATTTAACCATATAAATGGCCACCATCTTCTCTTGTCTAACCAACTTTTAAACACACATGGTAAGATATATATATATATATATATACATTCATTGGCTTTGAAAACCCTAACAAAGTAACAAGGTATCAGCATGTAACATAGAAACTTGGGTTATTAATATAATTTATAGGTTGAAGCCAATCTTTTAAGATCATGTTCATGAGCTTCAACTTCGACTTTAGCAAAAAGCTGACAATGCGTGCATGAGTTTGTAGCTACCAAAGGCTGCAGCAAAGACACAGAAAAAAAAAAAGAACTACGACTGAACCCACCTGCCAAACAAGTTGATAAAAGTGAAGCTGAAACCAGAAGGAACAGAAGACTAATCTTCTTGATCAGAAGCATGGAACCCATTATTTTGTGTTAAGCAAACTTCTTCAACTTTTTCTTTTCTTCTTGCTAGCAGCTGATATTTTTTCTGATTCAAGAGAGATCAGAAATATGCAAAAAAAAAATGATATATGCTTGATGTTTCTTATCTATATTGCAAACAGCATTATTAGGGTTTAAAATAAGCTACACTCTAATTGGTAATCTTAGTGATAAACTGAAATTGATTGTTTAATATTCTATATATATAAAGAATTTGATCTACCTGCTTTTGTGTTTTATATTCAAAATAGCTAGGAAAGGTGAAAGCACATCGCTTTTCTGTTGTTGGGGCATGCACTAAGTCTTAGAAATTAGTGGATTATTTTACTTCATTTAGATAACAGTATGAAGATTACCCTCTTTGAAATCTTCAAAATACCCCTTCAATTCTATATTTCATAATCCAAATATCATTCCTAGTAACAAGTATCATTCAAATATAATGAATCATGTTCAAATAAGTTTGAATTGTTTTTCGCATAACGAATAATCCTCAAGGGAGACTAGCGCAATAACCCACCGCCACAGTCTCCCAATTAAATCTGGGATGCTCAGATGGAGAATCGAACATGAGACTATGTGTATATCCACACTATCCTTAATTCGTCCTAATCATCTAGGTTATCCATGGATGAGTTTTCAATATATGTTGATATAAGTAAACACTCCAAACCACCATTGGGTGGCCTTCATGAGCTTCCGAGTTCAAATCTTCAAAGGCTCTAATAGGGGTGACCACTGAGAGACTTACATGACCGTCAACTTCAAGATCTCTGAAGATTAGTTAAAGTGTGCGTAAGTTAGCCCAGACACCAAAAAGAAAAAAGAGTAAACACTCGATCAATTGTTGGAGCCCTGTTTAGGAATTTAACAAAGTCAAAAAGAGAGATTAGTTAAAAAAAAAAAATCCTTTATGGATTAAGCTGAAAAGGGGGGGTTGAAGAAGTAGAACCAAGTTGGAAAATGAATGGTGAAATGGGGTCATGTTTGTCCTTGTATATGTTTATGAGGGAATTAAAAAGAAGAATTAGGTGGGATAAAATAGCTTTAATGGATGAGTAGTGCTTCCAGTTATCCCTAAAGACAAAGACAACGCACCAAATACACGAAGTGAAAGGACAATGGTGGAGAATAAAGAGAAGGGCACTGTGACTTTTGAGAGGTTTTAAAATATCCATTTCTGTCTTCTCTTTTCTCATTTAAAGTGGTGTTAGGAAAAGCATGCTCGATCGGCTTCCCCTAATTTATGTTAATCTGCCTTTGCTTTTTCCCCTCTTTAACATTCAATAATTGGTCTCTCTATCTATTCTCTTCTCTTCCATCAGTCATCTCATTATAATCTGAATATATATATATATATATATATCCACAATGAATAAAATATGCTCTTTGCATATCTCAAGATTGAATTTGTTAGGTTTGTCATCCCGCATTACTTTTTAAGACGAATTTTTTACTTTGTATGACGAAAATTTCCCTCACCCTTTTTTAAATTTCTTGTAGTGGTTCATCACTTAGTAATTTTAGCACTATCTAACCGATCTAGGTTGAGGTTTATATGCATTATTTGTCAGCAAGCATGCCATTCATATTTGTGGTGTCTTTTCGTCACTAAGCTCTCCAAGCAGAAAATTTTTAGCTGTGCTCATAATTTTCTTTTATTAGATGGCGTTAATAAATCTACTAACCATTTCCAGCTGTTGTTCCCCTCCTAAGGGCAAATTCTTATGCGTTACTCACTCATCCATCACTAGAAACATCACTTCCCGTCTAGCTTGCATGTGTTAAGCAAGCCGTCAGCATTCATCCTGAGCCAGGATCGAACTCCCAATGAGATTTATAGTTGCAATGACGTTAGTAAATCATCTACTAGCCGTTTTCAGCTGTTGTTCCCCTCCCAAGGGCAAGTTCTTACATGTTACTCACTCATCCGACACTGGAAACATCACTTCTGATCGTCTGGCTTGCATGTGTTAATTAAGCAAGCCGTCAGCGCTCATCCTGAGTTAGGATCGAACTCTCCATGAGATTTATAGTTGCATTACTTATAGCTTCATCGAACTCTCCATGAAATTTATAGTTGCATTACTTATAGCTTCCTTGTTCATAGACAAAGCCGAATGTTAATGAATTCTACCTTTAAACATTGTAGCAAAGACTTAAAGATTTATCTTTTTAGTCATTACTTGATCAAATTTTCTTGCGGTTATAACACATAAAAGTTATAACAAAATTTGGAGCACCTGTCACAATTTCTGTTATGGGAGAATAATGATAGATTCCCGCCCAATATTTTTTAAAGGTCTTTGTTCCCCCTTTAGGTATATACCATAGGATATATCAGCAACTTAACTATAAAATAAGTTTAAACATTTCATCTCCAAGAATAAAATCTTGATTTTGTGATGCTACATGCACTTTCATATATTTTATGGATTCTTATATTCTATTTTTCTATCATTTTTTTTTTTTATTGTAACCAAGGTGTATAGGTCAATTTACGCGTACCTCGACTAATCATTGAAAGAGACTAGCACAATAACTCAACATCATGTCGCGGATGCTCAGATGATAAATTAAACCTAAGACCGTGCGTCTATCCACATTATCCTTAATTGAAAAATCATTTTTTTTTTTTTTTATTGTAACCAAGGTGTATAGGCAAATTTACGTACACCTCGACTAATCCTCGAGAGAGATTAGCGTAACAACTCATCGTCATATCCCTTTACTTAAATCCTGAATGCTCAGATAAGAAATCAAACTTGAGACCGTGTGCATATCTACAATATTCTCAAGTCGCCTTAACCATCATGCCAAACACTATCTTTAGTGTGAATAGAAAACATTTGCTTTATCATTTGGCTGTTTGTATTACAACAAGATGCGCATAAATCTTTCTAGTAGAAGAAACACGAAACGATAATGGCCTTACAAAATTTGCTTCAACTTTGTACTGTGACATAGAGAATGACGAATAAAATCACTTCTAGGAAGTTTCCTCTAACCTTTCATTAATGTAGTAACACCTTCAACGGAGTCAATCAGCTTTGGATTCCATTGGAAATCACTTGTTTTGTAGCTATTGGTACAGAGATTTTGACATGATTTTTCATAGTTAAATTCATAATGATTTTGATAATCTTCTTCCAAATCCAACCCTCATTTCCTCTGCATAGTATCAACTCCATTACAGCCTTTTTGGACCATGTCATTGTCAATTAGAGAAGAATTCCCATCCTTCTTTTCTCCACTACTCTTTTTAATGGTTGAAGCAACTGGAGACAATTTTGTTTTTGTTTACTGTATATATAACTGAGATTCCACTTGGTTGTAAATTGCTACCACCTTCGTTGGTTGTCTTCCTAATGGCAACTTCCACTCAACCTTCAAAGCATGCAGTATGGAAAGTTGACAAGACACTACTTTTAAGAGTTTTCAAACGTTGTCTCACTTATCTGAACAGCACAGAGTTTTGCAAATGGAATTGTTTCATTATGATCATAAGCTTAATGATCACACACACACACACACAACAGTTTCTTGGCCTTGGCAACACAGTTGCTCCATATTTTTCAATTTACACATTTAAGATACATGGTTTGAATTTGAATTGCATAACAATAAACATAACAGTAAGGAACATGCATAATCTACATAGAGCCAAGGATGAAACAAACCAAGACGGGCTGCTATACTACAAGAAAGAAAGAATCCAGATAAATAGAGAAAAAGTGTTTCGAAATTCAATCGATGGGTTATGAAGCTGTAACGAAAAAGAAATAACCAACCAATGTCCATATGGAATACGCTACTAACATCAGGATGAAGTAGGTTTCAAGTAACTACCAAGATGGACTACGATGTTGAACCACCTTCTATCTTCTTTTCAACAACTTCATTTTCATGACGGAGGCTGTTTTCTCTGCTATAAGCAGCCTTGGCACCCTGAGAATGGAGATCGATCAGATGTCAACATGATGCATATAATATGAAAAACAGCTGTTTTAACCTTATAGGGTTAAAATCAGGTTCTGATACTGAGTCAAATATCACCACCAATGTAAAAGGAAAATAAAACCTACCTGGAAGACAGTCCCAAGTTTTTTCAGCCCTTTTGCCCTTAGTTTCAGAACATCCTTGGACACACTAGGGTCTTTCAATACCTGAAATAGAAGTAAAGAATGCCAAGAAAAGCAACCAGAGAAATTTTGTTACTATTCATGTTAATTCACCCTGCATGCATACTATGTCTTAAATTGACATATAATAAGTTCCACAAGCATCAATAGCGTAAAACATCTCACTAGCCATATCAAATTACATCTGGAGGAAGGCAGGATTATTAATTATGATGGAGTTTTGCATCTACAATGTTGAATGGAACTATTGCATCTATTTATATTGAATTCAGTTCAGGTTTCACTGCCTAACTTGCATCTATTTCGGGTAAAGGACACTTGAGGTAAGTTTCTAAGTAGGCCATAATGCGATGCACAGTCTTTTGCATAATAGATTTAATATTAGCAAGTTAATATAGTAAACTGAAAAGATAACTCAGCTCAAAATAGGTAGAATCATACCATAATCCATGCTGCATACATCAAAACTTTCTAAGCTTAAGAAAGGAAAAAATGGAACTTACAGCTTGGCAGATCCGTGATAGGGTTGATTCAATATCAACCACATTGATCTGCCAAAGGGATTGAAGCACAGCATCCTTCTTATCTTCAATGGCTTTCATTAGGTTCTCTTCTTTGTTTTCTGCTTGGTTAATCTTCTTCAGGTCTTCTTGTATTTGAATCAAAGAAACAGCACCTAGACATTCAGAAATGATTAACATGTTGAGTCCATTAGAAGGTCTAAACATAAATAAAAACCCAAGCCTATTCACCAAGTACAAATTTCCTAATTGCAGAAATGTTGTACCTGATGCTGCCATTACTTGCGACTTTATCTGATGGCCTTTATCTCGTACCCATTCTGCCAAAAATGGCACCTTCATAAACCGTTTGTCCTTTCCAAGCTCCTTTGAAGCTTGTCTTGTGTAAATATAGCCAATCGTGTGTAGCATAGCTTCACCAAAAGCTACAGAGGGCAGCAGTTATAGATTAATGCAAGTTGTACAAGTAGTAAAAATCAAATGAGATAACATTTGGATAGTATTTTTAAAAACAGCCGATTTCCTTTCAAAAGCCATAAAACTGAGTTCAGAATGTAAACCAGGTCATCCCATAACAGCAGAGATTCTAAAGAATTTATGCACACTAAGCAGTGTACGAATTTCCATAAATTAATCCTCTAACCTATTTTTTATTAAGGCTATGAACGATCAATGGTGCATGACATTGCATGTAAGTAGTGATGAATTAAATATTCACTAAGACTCCAAGAGGCAGCTAAAAGATGGCTTTGAAGACCCAGAAATGTCTTCATGGCTCAATGACTTTAGGGAATTCTGATTAACCATAGATAGTGACAGTTGAGGACTAAAGTTGAAGTTTTTCATCATCATGCTCCATCATGATGCCGCTGCCTTGGCAGTACAAACAATTTCAAATTTATAAAAATTTGAACTTCAGTCCTCATCCCAGACATGCTCTTGGGACCAATGAATATTTCATTGTTAAGGTAGGTTTCCAAATTCAACACTAAGGTTTTGATAGGTTTAAACAAATATAGCATACTGGTTCGAGGGGAGCTAGGAAAAATTTACCAGCCGCAGAGAGGCGACGAGCTTCTGAACTTGCCCATAGTACAAACTCGTCTGTTCGGCCTTCAACAAATGGTTCAAGACGATTTTTCAGATTTGTGATGAGCTTTTCTTCCCTCTCTTTCTGCAATGCCTGCACATTGGAAAAAAGGTTGAAGCTTCAATCAGGTCTATCAAAAAGCTCACATTTTGACAATACTAGTGAAGAAAATATACCCTCATTTTCTCCTGCATTTTCTGCCGACGAACTTCTGGGTCCTGCGACTCATTTTCAAGCTCAATGCCTGCCAACGTAGCCAGCGCTAGTTGCCCAACATAATCATCAAAAAACTCACTTCCAAAAAGCATGCCAAACACAGCTGAAGGATCCACCATGAACTCACTGCAAAGCAAAACAATATGAGACACCAATTTCCTCATGTTTTCCACAGGAATAAACAAATGTTTTAATAGCAAAAAAGGGGAAGAGGCACCCATTAACAAAAGAAAGAAAGGAAATTGGTTGAAGATGAATAATTATAACAAACCATAGTCAAATTCTTTATAAGTTTATCTAGAAGATGAAACAGGTAAAAGCAATGCTTGAAGTACATGAACTTACTGCGTTATTCCATCCTTTCCATGCTTGTCATACGCTTCACGCTTCTCAGGATCACTTAAAATCTGATATGCCTCACCAAGTACCTTTAAATATGTACCATAACCAGACAAATTATAGAAAGAAAGTTAACAAAAAAATCTGGAAAGAAATTATATGGTTCTTGAGATTTATAAATCCTTAATGCATCTTACAAAAAGGCAAAGAAGCACATTGATACAATATGCACAAATTAACCTAAAAATTCAAAATAGTAACAAATTAACGAACCAGTTTTCTGTTTTAAATTGATTTCCCGTTTCTGATAATACGAACTTGGGATTTGAAGATAAACTCACAGTAGTGAGGTGGACAATAACATGTTTAATTACACCAATCAAATGATAATATTTGAAGTTCTTATATATCAAAGGTATAAGCTTACCTGAAAATTTTCTGCAGCCTTTGGGTCTCCAGGATTTTTATCTGGGTGGACTATCCGTGCCTGCAAAAGAACATGGACAACTATCTCACAACCAAAAATCGAATGTAGCATAGACAAAACCCCAAAATTCCCAACCATATAATCATCAAATTACATTCTAAGGTGCTCATTAGACAATTTCGAAACACAAATTTAGAAGGCAATAAACCACAACATATAAAAATTGCTCCCAAAAACTGGTAAGTTCTGCTGCAACTTTGGCTTCAAATTGTATAAAACATAAACACATTTCAAATTACCCACAATTCCCCTAAGCGAAAAAAGCACGGGAGATAGAATCGAAACATTACCTTCAGGTAATAAGCCTTCTTGATCTCAGCTGGGGAGGCATCAACACTTACACCCAATATATCATAATATTCAGTCTCCTTCACCATTGCTTTTCTTTTACTAGACCTTCTAAAACCAGATACACGACCAAAATGAATTAGCCTCATGATTACCATCAAAACAAATAACTATACAACAATTAGCATGCAAACAATAGCTTATATAAAGGGCACCTCTTAAACGGATAAGGATTGGCTTTTAATTCCATGAAAACTAAAAATTGGAATAAAAATTTAACCTTGATAAAAACTATGAACCCACATGAATCATACACATAGATCTTAGCAAAAATAAAAAAACAACCGGCTTATTTTACCGTGTATTTATCAGTAATTACAAGAAAAATAATAAAACAAAATTAAGAATCTATAATCTTGAACTTCCATATGATTCTAAGCTCAGTTTTAGCTGAGCTAATCTAAGATTAAACTTACTTGTTTCAACGAAGCTGAAGATGAAATGAAGAACCCAGAAAGAGAATCAACGACAGAATGATAATGTGAATGATAACCTCAACATGAATCAAAAGTACTTTAGTTTTGTAATTTAGGACCCGAAGCTTCTGTTAAACGTGTTCTTGAGCGCAAACGTATCTCCTTTTTTGTTTTTTTTTTTTTTTTTCCCGATTTTACATGTGTTTGCTGTCATTTTTTGGGCCATGCACATGCACACGTACCAGAGTAATCATTTTGTTATGTCACACGTGTGGAAACATAGTAGAAGAAAACTTTATCAGGCCCAAGTAGAGATGGCAATGGGCCCGGTTTTTTCGGGTACCCGGCCCGGCCCGAAAAGGTTGGGGTTTGCCTGATGTTCGCGGGCTTGGGCTTGGGCCTGGGCCTGATTTTAAGGCCCGACCTCGGGTACGGGCCAGACCTAGGTATGCCTTCAGGCCCGGCCCAGCCCGACAATTTTAGTATTAATTTTCCTAAATTATCTTTATACTATATATTTAATTACAAGATTATCCTACATATATACACCAATTTTTCCCAAACCCTAATCTCATCTCATTTGATGAGTAGTAAAAAATAAATTAATATTTAAAAACTATTTTTAGAATTAAAAATATAAAAAAAATTGAAATTTATTAATATTTAAAAATTGAAATTATAAAAATGGGCTGGCAAGAATTTATGCACACTAAGCAGTGTAGAATTTCCATAAATTAATCCTCTAACTATTTTTTATTAGGCTATGAACGATCAATGGTGCATGACATTGCATGTAAGTAGTGAGAATTAAATATTCACTAAGACTCCAAGAGGCAGCTAAAGATGGCTTTGAAGACCCAAATGTCTTCATGGCTCAATGACTTTAGGGAATTCTGATTAACCATAGAAGTGACAGTTGAGGACTAAAGTTGAAGTTTTCATCATCATGCTCCTCATGATGCCGCTGCCTTGGCAGTACAAACAATTTCAAATTTATAAAAATTTGAACTTCAGTCCTCATCCCAGACATCTCTTGGGACCAATGAATATTTCATTGTTAGGTAGGTTTCCAAATTCAACACTAGGTTTTGATAGGTTTAAACAAATTAGCATACTGGTTCGAGGGGAGTTAGGAAAAATTTACCAGCGCAGAGAGGCGACGAGCTTCTGAACTTGCCCATAGTACAGGAACTAGAAATCAAACTTGAGACCGTGTGCATATCTACAATATTCTCAAGTCGCCTTAACCATCATGCCAAACACAATCTTTAGTGTGAATAGAAAACATTTGCTTTATCATTTGGCTGTTTGTATTACAACAAGATACGCATAAATCTTTCTAGTAGAAGAAACACGAAACGATAATGGCCTTGCAAAATTTGCTTCAACTTTGTAATGTGACATAGAGAATGACGAATAAAATCACTTCTAGGAAGTTTCCTCTAACCTTTCATTAATGTAGTAACACCTTCAACGGAGTCAATCAGCTTTGGATTCCATTGGAAATCACTTGTTTTGTAGCTATTGGTACAGAGATTTTGACATGATTTTTCATAGTTAAATTCATAATGATTTTGATAATCTTCTTCCAAATCCAACCCTCATTTCCTCTGCATAGTATCAACTCCATTACAGCCTTTTTGGACCATGTCATTGTCAATTAGAGAAGAATTCCCATCCTTCTTTTCTCCACTACTCTTTTTAATGGTTGAAGCAACTGGAGACAATTTTGTTTTTGTTTACTGTATATATAACTGAGATTCCACTTGGTTGTAAATTGCTACCACCTTCGTTGGTTGTCTTCCTAATGGCAACTTCCACTCAACCTTCAAAGCATGCAGTATGGAAAGTTGACAAGACACTACTTTTAAGAGTTTTCAAACGTTGTCTCACTTATCTGAACAGCACAGAGTTTTGCAAATGGAATTGTTTCATTATGATCATAAGCTTAATGATCACACACACACACACACAACAGTTTCTTGGCCTTGGCAACACAGTTGCTCCATATTTTTCAATTTACACATTTAAGATACATGGTTTGAATTTGAATTGCATAACAATAAACATAACAGTAAGGAACATGCATAATCTACATAGAGCCAAGGATGAAACAAACCAAGACGGGCTGCTATACTACAAGAAAGAAAGAATCCAGATAAATAGAGAAAAAGTGTTTCGAAATTCAATCGATGGGTTATGAAGCTGTAACGAAAAAGAAATAACCAACCAATGTCCATATGGAATACGCTACTAACATCAGGATGAAGTAGGTTTCAAGTAACTACCAAGATGGACTACGATGTTGAACCACCTTCTATCTTCTTTTCAACAACTTCATTTTCATGACGGAGGCTGTTTTCTCTGCTATAAGCAGCCTTGGCACCCTGAGAATGGAGATCGATCAGATGTCAACATGATGCATATAATATGAAAAACAGCTGTTTTAACCTTATAGGGTTAAAATCAGGTTCTGATACTGAGTCAAATATCACCACCAATGTAAAAGGAAAATAAAACCTACCTGGAAGACAGTCCCAAGTTTTTTCAGCCCTTTTGCCCTTAGTTTCAGAACATCCTTGGACACACTAGGGTCTTTCAATACCTGAAATAGAAGTAAAGAATGCCAAGAAAAGCAACCAGAGAAATTTTGTTACTATTCATGTTAATTCACCCTGCATGCATACTATGTCTTAAATTGACATATAATAAGTTCCACAAGCATCAATAGCGTAAAACATCTCACTAGCCATATCAAATTACATCTGGAGGAAGGCAGGATTATTAATTATGATGGAGTTTTGCATCTACAATGTTGAATGGAACTATTGCATCTATTTATATTGAATTCAGTTCAGGTTTCACTGCCTAACTTGCATCTATTTCGGGTAAAGGACACTTGAGGTAAGTTTCTAAGTAGGCCATAATGCGATGCACAGTCTTTTGCATAATAGATTTAATATTAGCAAGTTAATATAGTAAACTGAAAAGATAACTCAGCTCAAAATAGGTAGAATCATACCATAATCCATGCTGCATACATCAAAACTTTCTAAGCTTAAGAAAGGAAAAAATGGAACTTACAGCTTGGCAGATCCGTGATAGGGTTGATTCAATATCAACCACATTGATCTGCCAAAGGGATTGAAGCACAGCATCCTTCTTATCTTCAATGGCTTTCATTAGGTTCTCTTCTTTGTTTTCTGCTTGGTTAATCTTCTTCAGGTCTTCTTGTATTTGAATCAAAGAAACAGCACCTAGACATTCAGAAATGATTAACATGTTGAGTCCATTAGAAGGTCTAAACATAAATAAAAACCCAAGCCTATTCACCAAGTACAAATTTCCTAATTGCAGAAATGTTGTACCTGATGCTGCCATTACTTGCGACTTTATCTGATGGCCTTTATCTCGTACCCATTCTGCCAAAAATGGCACCTTCATAAACCGTTTGTCCTTTCCAAGCTCCTTTGAAGCTTGTCTTGTGTAAATATAGCCAATCGTGTGTAGCATAGCTTCACCAAAAGCTACAGAGGGCAGCAGTTATAGATTAATGCAAGTTGTACAAGTAGTAAAAATCAAATGAGATAACATTTGGATAGTATTTTTAAAAACAGCCGATTTCCTTTCAAAAGCCATAAAACTGAGTTCAGAATGTAAACCAGGTCATCCCATAACAGCAGAGATTCTAAAGAATTTATGCACACTAAGCAGTGTACGAATTTCCATAAATTAATCCTCTAACCTATTTTTTATTAAGGCTATGAACGATCAATGGTGCATGACATTGCATGTAAGTAGTGATGAATTAAATATTCACTAAGACTCCAAGAGGCAGCTAAAAGATGGCTTTGAAGACCCAGAAATGTCTTCATGGCTCAATGACTTTAGGGAATTCTGATTAACCATAGATAGTGACAGTTGAGGACTAAAGTTGAAGTTTTTCATCATCATGCTCCATCATGATGCCGCTGCCTTGGCAGTACAAACAATTTCAAATTTATAAAAATTTGAACTTCAGTCCTCATCCCAGACATGCTCTTGGGACCAATGAATATTTCATTGTTAAGGTAGGTTTCCAAATTCAACACTAAGGTTTTGATAGGTTTAAACAAATATAGCATACTGGTTCGAGGGGAGCTAGGAAAAATTTACCAGCCGCAGAGAGGCGACGAGCTTCTGAACTTGCCCATAGTACAAACTCGTCTGTTCGGCCTTCAACAAATGGTTCAAGACGATTTTTCAGATTTGTGATGAGCTTTTCTTCCCTCTCTTTCTGCAATGCCTGCACATTGGAAAAAAGGTTGAAGCTTCAATCAGGTCTATCAAAAAGCTCACATTTTGACAATACTAGTGAAGAAAATATACCCTCATTTTCTCCTGCATTTTCTGCCGACGAACTTCTGGGTCCTGCGACTCATTTTCAAGCTCAATGCCTGCCAACGTAGCCAGCGCTAGTTGCCCAACATAATCATCAAAAAACTCACTTCCAAAAAGCATGCCAAACACAGCTGAAGGATCCACCATGAACTCACTGCAAAGCAAAACAATATGAGACACCAATTTCCTCATGTTTTCCACAGGAATAAACAAATGTTTTAATAGCAAAAAAGGGGAAGAGGCACCCATTAACAAAAGAAAGAAAGGAAATTGGTTGAAGATGAATAATTATAACAAACCATAGTCAAATTCTTTATAAGTTTATCTAGAAGATGAAACAGGTAAAAGCAATGCTTGAAGTACATGAACTTACTGCGTTATTCCATCCTTTCCATGCTTGTCATACGCTTCACGCTTCTCAGGATCACTTAAAATCTGATATGCCTCACCAAGTACCTTTAAATATGTACCATAACCAGACAAATTATAGAAAGAAAGTTAACAAAAAAATCTGGAAAGAAATTATATGGTTCTTGAGATTTATAAATCCTTAATGCATCTTACAAAAAGGCAAAGAAGCACATTGATACAATATGCACAAATTAACCTAAAAATTCAAAATAGTAACAAATTAACGAACCAGTTTTCTGTTTTAAATTGATTTCCCGTTTCTGATAATACGAACTTGGGATTTGAAGATAAACTCACAGTAGTGAGGTGGACAATAACATGTTTAATTACACCAATCAAATGATAATATTTGAAGTTCTTATATATCAAAGGTATAAGCTTACCTGAAAATTTTCTGC